TCTTTACCTAAGTTAGGAAACAAACCCAATATATTTGCATTAAAATGTTTTTATTTGGATTAAGGTATATTATGCAAAACACCATGAATCAGATGCATATTCCCTCTGTTGCTTATAGGAATAAATGCTAATGACTTTTTAGAGGTGCTAACCTTAGAGGGAGATTTCTAATCCTATTTGCTTTGTCACAAGTGTATTATTTTTAACCATTTTTATAAGGGATCTCAGGTCCAGTCCTCAAGAGCTACCTTCCTGTAACTTTTAAATGCAGCTCTTCTCTAGCACACCTGAATCTAAAGCCTCCCCTCATTTAGCTCAGCAGAGACGTGGTAACAAGCCACTCATTTGATTCAGGTGTGTTAAAAAAGGTTGCTGGATAGTAGCTCTTGAGGACTGGACTCGAGCACCCCTGATTTAAATGCACTTGAAAGCTCTATGTTGGCCCTACCGTAGAGTCCTGCAACGGGTCGGGTACCCGTGGGTCCCCGACGGGTCACCCGCTAAAATGCTCTTTTGCGGGTAAAAAATACATAAATGAAAATAAACGGGATAAACGGGTCGGGCGGATGTTTTTTTAGTGCGGGCGGGTAGTTGGTGATTTTTTTTTTATGCATGTGTGTTGTTATGGACATCAGAAATGTTATATTAATCAGGCACTGGGGTCACCCTTGTTGTAGCTTAAAGCCCTGCCCTGCCGGCAGTGTGGGCTTCCCTCCAAAAAGGCCACAGTCAGTGCATGCACGTCTGCTGCAGTGTTAATGGCGCTGTTCTGCAGCGCAGCGTACTATAGCCAATTACTTGATGGGTTAACGGGTCGGGTTGCGGGTTAAATATCAACGGGTCGGGTCGGGTTCGGATTTGAATTGAAGATATCCGCGGGTGACGGGTCGGGTTCGGTAGTCATCCTAACGGGTTCGGGCGGGTGCGGGTTGGTAAAACTCGACCCGTGCAGGACTCTACCCTACCGCGGCTCTACGTTTCTTTTACCACACTCAAAATAAGTAGGTTATCCTGTGCTATTTTCTATATTTATGCTGCTATATGTTAACGCTGCTGGATCACAAGGGGACCACTTTTCTTCATTCTGCTTCATTCTATCTCTATTCTCCCATACTACAGAATTTGTTAAGTTTCACCCATATCATCCTGGAGGAGATGAGCTGCCTATCAGAGGAGCCTTTTATGGTGGGCAGTCTAAGGCACACCTGTGCACTAATCATGGTGTTCAATCAGCATCTTGATGTGGCACAACTGAGGCTGGATGGATTATCTCAGTGAAGAAGTGCTCACTATCACAGATTTAGATTGGTTTGTAAACAATATTTAAAGGAAATGGTGACGTTGTGTATGTGGAAAAAGTTTTAGATCTTTGAGTTCATCTCATAAAAAATGAGAGCAAAACCAAATGTGTTGCACTTATATTTTTGTTGAGAGCATGTGTATTTGTAGACATTCTAATTTTCTCTGCTATCTGAATTAGCTTTGATATCTATTGTTTACTGCTATAAAGCCAAGCAGACTCACCCATGTTATGTAATTTCTATTGTCATTTTTCGATGCAGAAAATATTTTCTAACAAAAACATCCAAAAAAGCCGAAAAAGTTCAAACATGTGTACATTTTGATAAAAAAAAAGAAATTTCCTTTTATTTCCTTCAATGTGACAGAATTAGACACTTTAGATACTAGCACTACTGGGCTATAGACGTTGCCTGGTCTATATTTGGTGGTTCTCAATTAAATGTTCATACAGTACCAAGCACTGACAAAGTAGAAATTAACTTAATTAATCATGGTAATAAGCTGAAAATGTTAAAGCTAAATATAAGAGATATGCAAGCGTACTTAAGATATTGGCACAAAACTGAAACTACTAAATAAAGAAGTAGAGTAAAAAACATTTTAAGAATCCTTACAGACAAGTGAATGAAAGTCACATGTGAAAAGGTGCAAATCAAGCGCTGGAAGGGAAGTCTCTGTGACACATGCAACATTTTGATTAAAGTTATTTAAGAATTGCATTTAATTGTTTTAAGAAAGATAAAGAACTGAGATGGGGCACCTTGTGCTTTCTGGGAACACACTGAAGAGTAAGGCCCGTTCATCATGCATGTTTAAGAAGTTTCTAAATGTGTGAAATGAGTTTATAACGTTCATCTATTGCTGCAGAAGGTATTCCAATTGTCCATCAGCCATTTTTTTTTCAAACAGGTGTGTGGCAGCACAAACACATAAAACATGCAAAACACTGAACCTGAGAACCACGTTTGGAAAATTCTCCTTTAAACTCGTTGCTTTTCAGAATAAACTTGAAACGTTGTAATGGGGCTGATTTCTCTTTTACTTTCCAGGGCTAACAAGTGTCAACTTTCTTGTTCATCTTTAGGATTACTTATTTCATCTGACAATGCTCATAATTGTATGGCTGTTTGGAGTCAATAAGAAATCTCTCTCAGACTGAAAGCAAATATGACTATTTCCTAAAATATGGACCCATCCCTGAATATATACCACTATGTGCACCTGACATATCACGCAAAAAATTAGATCAGAGGCAACAGTGAAATCAGGAAGTTATGTCTCCAATGAGTTAACACTGAGCTCTAATTCTTATTACATCTGCTGTAGTAGCTAAATATTGTGTTGTCTATCCAGTGGCGGAACTTGGACACAGCAGTGTAGACTCCAGGATATCCAGCATCCGCACATCCTCTTCCCCATGACACCACTCCATAGGCCCTTCCATTGCAGACAAGTGGGCCACCTGAGTCACCCTGAAAGACCAGCACAGACGACCATTAGAGTAAATAAGATCTCAGACTTGGGTTAAAAGTGACAAAATTGCAATTACACAGCTTTATGAACAAATGTTGATCTGTGATGAGAATTTGAAAGGAGAGTCATATATGTCTAATTTTAGCTTCACTTTATTAGGTCACTGCTAAATCCAGAGAAGAAATTAAAATTTATTTTCTTACATTTGATTCCCCTAATAATTAATCTTTTACATATATTAGTGATTTCATTGTTCAGCATATTCCAAACTGGGCTCTTTCCTTTCAGATCAAATGTTTACTGGTTGTTCTTAGAGTTACTAAAATTAGAATGGAAGGACCATCTCTCAATTATCAGATTATTTTTAATAGGTTCTACTTCAGTGGATCCAGCTTCCGATTTTAGTCTCTGATGTAGGCAACCTGGCTACTTTTTTTTTATTTTTAAATCCCTATGGTTAGAGTGGCTTAGGTTACCCTGACAAATCAATTTACAGCTTAAATGGTAAATTACCTGTGATTATGAAGCACCTTTTTCAAGTCAGGTGTCAAAAGTGTCATGATCTCTTGATGATGTCTGGTCTGATTACTTGTTTCACTACCCAGCCTTAAGACCAGAACATTACAGAAAAAAAAAAAAGATTTATTTTTGAACAATGCTGGAAATAGGTTAGAAACTTTGACCAATCAGACGCTGTAGCCTACAGTATGTCTTTTCTGTAAAACTTCTGCTGGTGTTTTATGGTATTGGTCTTCAGAAGTACAGTATTTAGTTTATTTTAAAAAAGTTTTAAAAAGTATTAGTATTTTTATCATTTATGTTAGTATAATTATTGTTTTGTATGCTAATATAATTCCTATTTTATGTCAGTGACATTAATGTATTTAACTGAGACCGCAAATCTCAAAAGTACTTTTCTGAATAAATGAAGGATTATTAATGAAATCTTGCTTCACAATGACTTCAAATGTAGTGGTAGTCCTGCTTGGTTAATCCAGCACTAAGATATGCCTTTATTATATTAAAAAGCACTTCAACCACAAATACAACCCCTAACACTTCACTATAACAAAATAAGTGAGGGGCTGAGTTTTATTAACTTTTTTCAGTGGATTTCTGTTAAAGAGCATTTAACAAGTAATCTATAAACACTGTTCATTGTTGTATAAATGTAATGTGTGACATTTTCCATTTTAAAATTGCAAATAAAGGAGAACATCACACTGGAAAAACGATCTAGAAATATTAAAAAAAAATTAAATTAAGTGTATTTACCCTTGATTTGAGTAGGTAAATGAAAAAGTTTGCCAATGGAATCAGTATTTTTACTCTAAAAATAAAATAATTAGATAATAGGCACTTCAAAATAAACAATCCAATTGTGTTTTCTTATTTTAAATCTAAATTTTCTTGTTCCATTGGCAGAATGTCTCTTTTATCCCCTCAATTCAAGAACAAATGCACTTATTTTAAGAAAAAATGACTTATCAAGATTTAGATTTTTTGCAGTGCAGACAATGGCTGGAATAAAATAACTTTCTATATCCAAAGTCAGATGTAAATAAATATATAAAAAAAAACAGCTAAAGTTATGAGAAACATGGCTGCTTGAGGACTAAAGCTGCAGTTCCCAAAGGGTTTTTTTCTGTTAGTGTAAGATGTATATAAATTGAACAAATGTAAAGCTTCATTCCTCCACTGAACGACCTCCTACCTGACAGGCATCCTTTCCCCCAGTGTTGTAGCCGGCACACAGCATTTTGTCTGTAATACTGCCATCAAACGACTTTGTGCTGTTACATTGTTCTGTAGAGACAACAGGAAGTGTGACAGTCCGAAGGGTGGCTGGAATCTGGCCCCCGGTGGGGCTGGTGTATCCCCAGCCCGACACGCGACACATTGTGCCCTCTGCTAAGGAAGCATCCTGCTTGGGCAGCAGAACGATGGACACGAAGCTGTTCAGGTAGATAGGTTCCCTCAGCTGGAGACAGATTACGTGGTTATTATCGTAAACAGATGGATTTACCAGGAGATTCTGACAGTTACTTTGAATTCTGTACCTTAATAAGCATGATGTCACTGTTGTTTGTTGTACTGTTGTAATGAGGATGGGGAACCAAAAACTGTGGGTAGACTTCCTGCTCTGTGCCTTCATAAATCGCCAAAGAGTAGTCTCCTGCTACTATCACCATTCTGTTTACCCTGCAGGCGAGACAAGTGGGTTGATTAAAGCAAAAAGTTGTTTAACCCTTTAAAGCCCGATCCAAGAATAAAACAAAACAGAAAATTACTTTTTTTTGGTTGGAATTCCTTATTTGCCCTTTTAACAAAATATGTAAAAAGAAAAAACAGAAATACATTTCTGATATTAATAATTTATTACTATGCGATAAGTCAAGATAATTTTTTGTGTAGTCTTCTGCCCTCTGTTATCAGGTATATCTGATTGTGTACAATAGGATTTTGAGCAAAGTTTTTACAATTAAATTATGCAAAAGGTGTCAGACGCAAAACATGTCAGAAACCGTATGTATCAAATATGATACATTTGGCATTATAGGGTTAAGACTTTTTCAATACATTCTTACCCCGTTTTGAAGGAGAAGATGTTGACATCACTACTTACTCATAACAAGCATATTTGGATGGAATTGGACTTTTTAATTTATAAAAAATATTTAATTGCTAATTATTTTAATATTTTTCAAAATTTAATGATTCAATCACACATATTTTTCTCTAGTGTCTCGAGTGTTAGGATACATTTTTTTATCAAGTGCTGAAAAATGATACCTTTACTAATATTAATATAATATACTAATCTATTAAATTAATAAATGGTGTGCCCTCTTTTCAGCATGACTAAATATGTTGTTGAAATGGAAAGCTGAACATATTGAACATTTTCCTATAATACACTTGATCTGACATCTTTCTCAGGTCTTATGGTCTGCATCTGCTTTAGGTCCTGACTTTTGCCACTGCTGCTAGCTTTGAAATAGAAGCCACTTTTCCACAAAGAAAAAGATTATTTCTTTCTTCAAGCTTCACTGACTTACTGCACAAAACAGCCTCTATTCAGTCCCAGGTTACACTTTCATTTGACAAATCTATTGACCGCACAGTACAAGTGTAGGTACAAAAACGGATCTGAAAATGATGTTTGCCCCAGAGGTCTGCAGTATGCCACAGCTGAAGGAGAGAAAAAAAGATGGCATATAAAGAAGAAAAAAATGTATAAATGTCCACTGCAGAACGACACGCAGCAAGACAGTGAAATGGTTACTGAGGTCAGGAACTATTCAGTTCATCCAGTAGAAAAAGACAGGAAACAAAAGAGCTGCCTTAAGTTACAGGTTATTGATTTCTGTTTTAAGTAAACTGTAAATTGGTTTGAAGACAATCCATTTGCTCTAAATTTGTATTTATTTATTTTATATGCTATATAATCCCAGAAGAAAATTACTTCCCTGCATTTAAGCCATCCCCTTTGGGAGCAGTGGGCTGCCATTGTGCAGCGCCAGGGAGCAGTGTGGGGTTAACAGGGATTGAACTCACAACCTCAGGATTCGAAGCCCTATGCCCTAACCACTAGGCAGCCACTCCTTAAATCAGTTCTACTTTAAAACTTTTAAAGATAAAACTTGGTTTCCAAACAAAAAAAATGCATGCTGAGCAGAACTGTGATATAATTACTTTATGTTTTATTAATTATGGTTTTCAACCATTTTAATTCATTTTCCTATGCCTAAATACGAAGCTGAATTTCACTAGTTTAGTCAAGAATTTTGATCTGAAATAGGTTTGACTTGGAGTTGAATGATTCTGTAAATAAACTCTTGCATATTGAATGTATATGTGTACAGAAATAACTGTTGGACAAAGATTTAAATTCACCCTTTCATTGTTTTGTCCTAACACATGGTCTGTTGGGTGTGTGTTCACAGAACATCATAGGACAGCGTTTTTGTTTGTTCAAATTAAGATTTCAGGGCCATAACCTGACCTTCAATTAGTATCTATTATTAAGAGAGATTTTTTTTTTCCAACAACATAAAACATCCCAAGACTTAAGGTGAAAGACTGCCCTTTGTTAACTAACAAAGGAAAAGGGCAACTCGATGACACTGACAGCCACTTACTGAATGTCATTTAACAATAGGTACAAGGTATCTATTTGCTGATGTACTGATGTAACTAATATCTGATTTAAATGCCAAACACCACCTGAATTTATTGCCTCTTTATGGGCACTTTATTTCCTTGTTATCCACATAAAACTGTCATGTCTTTTTATGCCACAACCATGCTTGTGTCAGATTGCAGAGGCACAGAGCTCCATTGTGTGCATGGTTTCATTTTTCATGGGCTTTATTTCAGCCATGGAGATTACCAAAATTCAGCATCTGATTTGGTTTTAGATTCCCTGGAGTCAAGAAAGTTGAACCCAGGTCATTAGGCTTATTATAGCTTGTGCAGAAAAAGCCTAAATAAGGATTTTGAAGGTAAACTTTGAACTTTATTTTATCACAACTGTGTTTTTGCAGAAGGTTATGCAACATCTATTATTTACAAAGGAAAATCAAAAGGAAAGTGGCTCACCCGATGTTACAGTGTGCTGCTGTGATTACCCAGAATTTGTTAATCAGGAAGCCACCGCAGAAGTGCTTGCGGGTCGTTGTCTGGATTGACACAATGTACTTGATGGAATGTGGAACTGGTGCGTACCCTCCCACTATACGTTCCTGTGGAATGCCCTGACCTGTGACACAGAAATGGGAATTAACTCTGATTGGATTTATGGAAAGAAACATTTGTGTTGTGCTTTCATTTGTGCTGAAGCAGCATCAACGGGAACAATACAAGACCCAGAAAAAAACACACAAATCTTTGCTGCAAGGATCCTTTTCACTCAGCAGATCGATGAAGAACGATCTCATCCCGGAGCTGCATTGATTCCCAGCTAGGATAAATCTAAGAATCATTATCTGTTTGTTTTTTTCTAAGAGTTAGCCAGAGACACACAATACATTTCTGCTCCTAACAGCACCTTGAATATGGTCACAATTTGTCACATTACAACCAGAATCATTGATTTATTTTATTAGGATTTAATGTTATAGAAGAGAAAAAGGTTAGAACACAGAGTCCTGCAATTAAATGCATCCCTTCTGTGAAGAACACAGAAATCGGTTCAAGGATATTTGTGAACTTACAGTACCATGTACACCAAGAAACAATGTGGAAAGGTCAGTTGTGAAGATGTTTGAAATATTAGGTTCTTAAACCATGGATGAAGATCACATGGGACACCGTTCTCTACATAATTTGTAAACAAAAACAATTTTTTTTTTTGCAGCAGGAACAGGGAGGCTGATCAAATTGAATAGGAAGTCAGCTGGATATAAATACAGAATAACAAAGAATTAATTAGATAAATGAGTAAAATACTATCTGAGTAAATATATCTAAGCACAATTTTACAGAGAGTAAATAATGCCAACAATACAACTGAAGCTGAAAAGAGTCATATTTACCATTAAAATAAAGAAATAACTTTTTAGAGGAATTAAGACCCTAATTACTGCAGCTGAAACGTTTTATTACCCCTAATGCATCAGGAAAAACTTTGATCTCTGTAGGTTTTCATACCCAAATTAACACTTTATTCAAATTGCAGCCATGTTGAATCTCTTTGTATTCTTAAAGTTGTACAAACTAAAAAGAAGTGGGTCAGAAATACCCCAAACTTGATTATTTCCAGTTCCAGTCAGGTTAATTGGAACCAGCAAGATGGTTGGTCCTTTATAACCCAACTGTCAGGACTCCTTTCTGTGTGTTTGTGTTTCTGTGTTTTCTCCCTTCCTCCACCAGGAGGCGCCTGGTTCTGGTCCGCCTCCTCACACACCTGCTGATGGCTTCCTTGTTAACGGAGTGCTCTTAAGCTGCTGACTGTCACTACCTTGACGCCAGAGTGTTTGCCAGTTTGGGGTACTCTAGCCAAGCTGAGTTTAGCTAAGTCAAACTGAGTTCTTGTCAACCTGAGTATTAACATTGTTTGCCTTTTGCCTCTCGGCAGAAAGTCATCCTGCTAAATGGATTTTTTGGACCTTCTCTCCCTGGAAGGATCAACTGAGCTACAAACTGAGCTGGGGTTCAAACAGGAGGTTTGGATTCACTTTCCTAAGAGATCGTTTGAGCTTCGTTCTGAGAAAGGGATTCATCTCCACTACGACCCGTTCAAGTACTGCAGGAAATCTGAGTGGCAGTCAGTTTTTTCCGTTCACCTACAAACTACCGCATTCTGGGTAAACCATGTTCCGCCCTCCACCGAATCAAACACTGGAACTACAGCATACAGACTGGAGTCAAGGATTCAACAACTTCTCTGGAAACGTGAGTCAGCAACCAAATCCTCTTCTCCAAGCTCACGAGTCAAATTTCCCACTGAGCCTGAACTAACCGCTGTGTCTTCCCGTCACTTTTTAGTTCCGGTTGAGCAGTGTTCAGAGCAACCCTTCTCTCTGAATTATGTCTTCAATAAAACCTGTTAAACCTCTTCCCTGGTCTCCCAGTTTGGTCTTCTGCATTTGGGTCTGAACTTTAGTAAAATCATGACACCAACAAATGGGTTACACTATTCTACCCAAATTATGGGTTGAATTAAATGCAAATATGGATAAATTCAAATACACATATTTGTTAATAGCCTTTACTTGAATGCTTGGTGAAATTGACCACAGTTTTTGATTGTTTTACCAGCTACATACGTAATGCTTTTAAATGCTTGTTAAATGTTTAAATGCTTCAGATTGATTCTAACACATTACAGTACATATCATTAGGAGAATAAATTGCAATAGACAACCCTTATCTATATTAAAATACATGCTCAATTTAGTCATGCAAAGCATTTTTTATGCAATAAACACGATACTGGACTCTTTACGAGGCACTACTTTCAAATTTATTAATACTTAATACCCACATTACAAAAAGGAAGCAGTCAAGTTAATAAAGTAACAATTTAAATTAGTGTCATTAAAACAATGTACAACAGTGTACTAACAACCAAGAGGAGCAACAGGTCAAGTGTCAAACTGGCAATAACAAGCTGTAATTCAGGCTGTTTGCTCCTCTGGTAGCAAGTATTCTAGCTTGGGGAAACTTTAGCAGTTCAGACTTCTCTACTGGGATTTCATAGGCTGCTCTCTGCAGGGGATCCCGCACATGTTCATGCTGATTTAGGTTTTAATGTGTGAGATCAAAAATGTATTTAAGGAAACATTGATGGCTGAAAGCAGTGGTCCAAAGGCTGTCCAGCAGTGGTGGCAGAAACTTAAGATGGAGGCTGATCATTTCTCGGTGTCAGAATGAAGGAATAAGGTGTGAATACCTTGGCCTCATGAAGTCATACCACCATCATTCTTAAACCAGCCTAAAAACAAGAGGGAGCAAGTGAGAATGAGTAAGGACCAAATTATCATTTTAGGATAAAGACCAGTAACATGGGCTTAAGATATATATATATTAGGGATGCACGATATAATCGGCCCCTATCGGTATCGGCCTTAAAACTGAATATCGGACATCGGCCACCCCACCGATATTTAACCCGATATTTGATCAACTTCTGAGTTTCTAAAGTCTAAAAAAATAAATAAAATACTACTTCTCCTCAAAAACCTTTTTTTTTACAGACTTAAAAAGTTCTAAAGACGAGGGAAAAAA